TGCTGCTTGGCCTGCTGTGTTCATCCAGCTCTACACCTTGTTATCTCAGATTCTCCAGCATCTGCAGTTCCTACTATCTCTGAAACATTGAATTGCAGATTCAGTTGAAATTCTTCACTGGATTTGTAGCATGTTATGGTTTTAAGATAAAGGTGTGCCTCATGACATGACTTACATTATGCTGAACCTTTGGAAAGCACAACTAGAAAAAATGCTTTCAGTGTTAGTCACAATACTTTTGGATGGGTTGTTGAGAAGTTGCAGAAGTGATTTACCAAAATTGATGCATGGAATGGAGACTTTATTTTCAAGCTTTTTGTTGCGGAAGCTCAAGTTGTTCTCCATGGAACAAAGGAAATTGTGGGTGATTTGATATATGCTAGAAATTATAACAGGTTTAGATAAGGTAGACAAAGAGAAGCTCTTCCCATTCATTGAAGGAACAAAGTGTAGGACAAATTTTTAACAAATAGATAAAGGAGACGGTGGTGATATTTTTACATAGCGAGTGGTAATGGCCTAGAATTATTAGTCCACAAGGGTGATGGAAGCAGAATTGATTAATGATTTCAGAAGAAAACTGCATGGATGTTTGAAGGAAATGAACTTGCACAGCAATGGGGATAGAAGCAGGGGAGTGATTGCTTTCAATGGACCAATCCAGTCTACGGAACTGGATTCAAACCGAATGGCCACATGTATTGTAGATGACACTGTGGCTTAGAAATCCTGCAAAGTTAAAGCCCTTTATAACAGATATGACCATTCCAACACTCCACACCACTGTTCCTGTGCTAGGACAATGGAACTGTCATTCCTGAAATGAGGTAAGCTAGTGGAATGGGCTGGCTTCTGATTTTTGGGTTGATCACATTTAAGGATTAGAAAAATTGCACAATTTTTTAATCTCTTTGAATATTACCTCTATTTGCATGTCTCAAGTTTTTAAAGGGGTTCCATAGGTTGTGGCCAGGCTTTTCTTTGGTTCATTGATGGGATGTGGGTTTCACTGGCTGGGCCAGCAGTTATTGCCTTTTTCAAGTTGCCCTTGAGAAGGTAGTGATGAGCTGCCTTCTTGAACCGATGCGATCCATGTGCTGTTGTAGATTCACTCTGGCTTTTTAAAGAAGGGTAGAACTTGTGTTTATATGTCATCTTTGTTAAGTTCAGGACACTGCTCAACTAATGCAGTACTTTTGAAATGTAGTCGCTGTTACATGGCATTCAATCTCACACGCAAGCTCCACGAACAGCAATGTCATTTAAAAAAGTTTTGCTTTGTGGAAGTTGAGGAATGAACATTCACCATTGAACAAGGCAGAACTCTTCTGTGGTTTAATGGGATCTTTTACATGTAACAGAGGTATTTGTCCAATTAAAAAGTTTGAAACCTTTTGATTCTTGATAGTCACTTTCAATCAGTGGCTTCTGTTCTCAACTTTCCTGCCACTGGGAACTTTCTATCAATCTGTCGCTACTCCTCTCAATTCTAAACACCTGTATCAGACCTCCTCTCAACCTTCTGACCTGTAAGCACAATGCCCCCTATTACTTAGGGAACCTGCCACTTCCATGTGGTCAAACCTTTCCTATGGGTGTGACCTAATAACCTGTTAAAAATAATTCTTGAAGGAAGCTTACCAGATGTTACTCAGAACTCCCTCAGTACTGACCAGTGATTTGAATCAAAACTGATACTGTTGATGGCAACCACACCTCTACAACAAAGAAATTATTTGGAGGTTTTTTTTCTTTTGCTGATTTCTTGTTCTTGATCTTACTCTGCAGGTAAACTGTTCATCCGAAACAATGGAGTCAATGCTAAATAAACTGAAGAGTACTGTTACTAAGGTAACAGCAGATGTTACCAGTGCAGTCATGGGTAACCCTGTCACAAGGGAGTTTGAAGTTGGGCGGCACATGGCAAGTGCTGGGCCAGGAATGACCTGGAAGGTCTTTCATGGTGTGAAGAAGTCAACCAAACAGGTAATACATACTCTAAGAACTTCTTAAAAGTATTTGAATTGTGAAGGTTAATTCATTTTAGCCACAAGAATTTCTTAATTGAAAGGAAATTTCTGTTTAGCTATCTTACAAATTACCTACTTTAAAGGAAGAAATAAAAGCAGAAAATGCAGACAATATTCAGCAGGGTTGGTAGCGTCTGTTCACTGGGAAATGGACTGAATGTTTCAAGTCTTTGACCTTTCATCAGAATTTTCTGTTGAAAGGTGGCAAACTTGAAACCATAGCTCCGTTTCTTTCTCCAGAGGTGGTGCCAGGTATTCTGAGTATTTCCAGCACCATTTTGCCTCTTTAAATCTGATTTCCAACATCAGAAATATTTTACTTCCATGTGATGTCAATCTGGATTGGCCGAAGAGTTATCTGGGTAGACTCCACTTAGCACAGTCTGTGATGTGAGCAGTAGCAAATCGCTATTCCTGTTTTACATCTCAGTGACAGACTTGAAACGAAAATCTGAAAGGGGAGAGGTGTAAAATGGGCTGCCCACTTGCTCTGATAATGATCACATCCAACCTTCTCCAGATAACCTTAGAAGGAATAAAAGCAGAAATTGCTGGAAATGCTCAGCAGGCAGCATCTGACAACAAAGCAGAGTTAACGTTTCAGGTTCAGTGACCCTTCTTCAGAACTGGTTTCTTTGAACTTAGAAGAAATGTTGTGCCTTCTTTTACAAAGTCCAAAACAAATTCCAGTCGGAGGGTCAAGTTTGGCAAATATCCTCGACAGATGAAAAACTGCTAATTCATGACAGTTAATATTTAATAGGTCTAGTTATTATGCATCATAGCAACAACATTTGGATTTTTGAATTGGTGTCAGTGGAAATGATCTTCATTAAATGACCACCTATGCAGCATTGGTCGAATATTTTGACTTAATGAAGGTATTTTATGAAAGAACACTTTGTAAACATAAAGACCTAGTCAGTTGACTGGATAGTTAAGATGCTGGATTGTCACATTTGATGAGGAAGTGAGGCAGCTCATGAACTGTGGGCCAGAGAAAAAAGAACTTGCATTAATGTAGCAACTGTCATGACTGCAGGACACTCCAAAATGTTTTGCAGCCAATTAAATGTTTTTGAAGTATACTGTAATAAAGGAAATTGGCAGTCAAGATGCACACAGCAAATTGGGAAGCAGTAATGTGACAAAGATCAGATAATTTGATTTTTTGGGAGGTTGGTAGAAGAAATTGGAGAGGGCTCCCTATCTCATCCTTGAATTTGAGCCATGTGGGTAAGTCCATCTTAGAATACAGGAATGAAAGCAGGAAATGCTGGAAATACTCTGCGTGTTTGACAGCATCTATGGAGAAAACAGCACAGTTAATGTTAAGTACTATTGAACTCCTAGCAGATGGTAAGTTGCTGAGTATTTTCAGCATTTTTTGTTGATATTTCAGACATCCAGTGCCCATAGTATTTTGTTTTTCTGTTAGAATGCTGGGACACATTTAATTTCTTTTCCAAAGACACTTGGACAGTACAGCACTTCTTTAGTTTTGTGCTTCTGACAGTGTGGTGCTCCCTCAGCGCAAAACCCCCCCCATAGCAAACTTGTCCTTCAGTACTACCCTGGAATGTCAAATTAAATTATTTTTGATTCTCTGGATTAGGTCTTGAATTGACAGCCTCTGACTCTGAAGCAAGAAAACTATTGCAGAGAGCCAGTGCTGTCTTGGTGCTCGCTGCGGCCCATTGAGACAACTTACCTTAGGTGGCGTGTAGGTGTATCACTGGCACTAGTTGACTTGTACTTGGCTGTTAACATGTGGATTCTATGAAATAGGGTGCTATCTACCATGATGAAAATTATTCAAACTTGGGCATTTATTTACTGATCATGGCTGAAGATTCCCGGACAGAAATTTGACTTGAACCATAGTATGAAATGTGGTATTGTGTAGACCATCCATTGTACATGCTATATGGTTTAATGTTCAGCACTTTCCTGTAACTAAGGCAGTTGTGGCTTCTAGTCCCTCGAGCTCAGTAAATAAGATCTAGTGTGTGGTCTTAGCATCTCCACATAAAGCAGTATTGTCTTACAGATGACACTTAAGTTGAGGTCTGTGTCTTCTTTCTGAGTTCAATGTAAAAGACCCCACAGCACTGTTTCAAAGAAGAGCAGAGACTATCCCTTAAGCAGCTGATATTTATGCGTCAACTTTCTTCAAAAAGGAGATGATCTATCATTAGCACATGTTGTTTGTGGAAACTGGCTGAGAGCAAATTTGTTGCCCTGTTTCCCATTTTACATGAGTGCCTACAGGTTTTAAAGATACCTTATTGGCTATAGAATACTTTAGGGGCTTGAGAGGCACACTGCATATAGAGTACACTTTTTAAATATAACCTCACTTTGCTGGTATTGTTCCAGTGCTACTTTGCCTTGTGCTTTCCATGACCCCTCGATTCTTTCTACAGTGAGATGTTCTGAAGCTCTCACTGTACTCCTGCTGTGGCCTAACATTGACAATAAGTCCAGTGTGAATTCATTGCTTTCATTTTTATTACCCTTAAAATTGTATGCTTGTAGCTTAGTTGTTTTTATTTGTGTTCATCCTTCTACAGTGTCTTCTATTGAATTTCTTAGCCTTTTCTCTTTTCCCAACGTACATTTGGAAGGACATACGGGTCACTTTTTTGTTTTCAATTCAAACTAGTTCATTGAGACTGCCTGTAGATAACTTAATCATCAGCATTATACAGTACCCTGGGAATTAATTAGTGCCTCAGGATGTTGCCTTTAATCGTGCTCCAAGCATGACCAGCTTTGGTATGAGTTGCATTCTGGCTTTTTCATTTCTGTTACACAGCTACTCTCCTTAGGACATAAACCAGCAGTCATGTCAAAAGTCTTTTGTGTCATGTATTAACACATCAGCAGAATTCTAAACCACTACATAGCAGAGGTGTCAGGGAGATTCTCCTTGAAAATTTCTTTGAACAAAATGGAAATGTATGGTTTCAGATTCCTCCTTGATACTGCAGAAGTAAGACATTGTGTTTGATGGAGTGCTTTAACGTGGTAAAACGCCCTGAAGCACTTGACAGGAACAAAATTTTCAGACAGAATCGGACTTTGAGCAACGTAATCAGATATATTTGGGCACATGATACAAAGCTTGGTTTTAAGGCATGTCTTCAAGGAGAGGTTTTAGGGAGCAGGTTTGGGAGCATGAGGCCCTGGTTGCTGAGGGCATAGCCAACACTGAAAGAAACTTTGGATGCAGGAGTGCAGAGAACTTGGAGAGTTAAGTTGGAAAAATCTCAAATCAGGACAACCATATGCTTGTGCAATCAATGATAACTGAAGGTATATATGCAACATTCCAATTCTCAAACATTGATCCTAGTTTCATCATTGTCTTTTCGTTTTTCAGGAGGTGGCTGTATTTGTTTTTGACAAAAAGTTAATTGAGAAATATCAAAAGTTTGAAAAGGATCACATCATTGATTCACTGAAAAAAGGTGTGCAGCAGCTCACCAGGCTGAGACATCCACGCCTACTGACAGTTCAGCATCCATTAGAGGAGTCTAGGTAATGGAATTTTGATATTACTTAGTTTTCATGACTAGCAGTGAACGTTAACTTGTTTCTTAAAATAGAGTTTCTTTTTTGGATTAACTACCTCATCTATTTTTTACAGAGACTCTTTAGCCTTTTGCACGGAGCCTGTCTTTGCAAGTTTAGCCAATGTCCTAGGTTGCTATGACCACCTACCATGCCCTACACCTGCAGAAATTAAAGGATACCAGCTTTATGATGTGGAAATCAAATATGGTTTGTTGCAGGTAAATTGCCAGTACGTTTGTTCAATAGTCAGATTGGTGCAGTAATTGCTGCATTTACTGCATGTCTGTCTCAAGTCAGTGCTTTAACTGGCCAATTTCCAGTTCACAATAGTGCTGCTTGATGGAATCCTATAGTTTTATAAAAATGCAAGATGTTTCGTTATATAGTATCCAGAGACTAAAATATGATAATGTTCACCTCCTTACTTCTCTTTCCCTTCCCATTTTAGGTCAGCCATTTAACAGTGATCATTAGAGATAGTAGGAACTGCAGATGCTGGAGAATCTGAGATAACAAGGTGTAGAGCTGAAGAAGGGTCTAGGCCCGAAACATCAGCTTTCCTGCACCTCTGATGCTGCTTGGCCTGCTGTGTTCATCCAGCTCTACACCTTGTTATAACAGTGATCGTTAGTAGTTTTAGAATCTGCCATACTGTTGGTTAAAGGAAAATAATAGCAATTTTTGAAGTCCCAGAGCCTAATAATTGTAATTCTAATGTGCATTCAATGTTGTTAAGTGGGCAAGTCTGACAGTCAGCTTGCACGAGGAAACCCACAAACAGCAACAGAATTTGCACGGCACTTAAACAGGCCATGCAGCCCAACTGAACTGTGCTCGTGTTTATACCCCACATGAACTTTCTCTCAGTCTACTTCATCTTCCCCTGCAGCATAATGTTTCCTTTCTTTCTGCCACACCCAACTTGCTTCCTCTTATATGATCAATGAATCATTCTTGGCATATGGGTAAAGGTAAAATGCTGACTAGATCACCAGGTAAACCTGGTGAGTCCCTTTCATGGGAAGTTGTCATTGATGATAACAAGGTGCTAAGAAGGCATTTAGCACGCTTGCCTTCATTGCTCAGTCTTTTGAGTATTGGAGTTGGGACGTTATGTTGATGTTCTACAGGATGGTAGCGAGGCCTCTTCTGGTGTTCTGTGTGCAGTTTTGGTCACCCTGCTTTAGGAAGCATATTATTAAAGTTGAAAGGGTTCAGAAAAGATTTACCAGGATGTTGCCAGGAACAGAGAATTTGTATTGTAATAGTAAGTTGAAACTTTTTCCCTGGAGCTTAGGAGGTTGAGGGGTGACCATGTAGAGATTTATAAAATCAGGAGGGGCATAGATAAGGTGAATAGCCAGGGTCCTTTCCCTAGGCTGGGGGAGTTCAAAACTAGGGGGTATATTTTTCAGGTGTGAGGAGAAAGTTTTAAAAAGCTTGGTTTCAAGGAGCGTCTTCAAGGAGAGGTTTTAGGGAGGAGGTTCCAGAGCATTAAGCCCCGGTAGCTGAGGGCACAGCCACTGCTGAAAGAAATTTGGATATAGAAAAGTCCAGCGTTTGCAGGAATGCAGAGAATTTGAGGGGTTAAGTTGGGAAAATCTCAAATCAGGGCACCAGAATGTGCTTGTACGATCAATGATAAAGAGCAGACAGATATATAACATTTCAATTTTCAAGCATTGACCTTAGCTTCTTCATTGTCTTCATTCAAATGTTTTCACACACAGTAGTTCATGTGTGGAATGAACTGCCAGAGGAGGTGGTAGATGCAGGTACAGTTACAACATTTAAAAGACATTTGGACAGATATACGAATAGGAAAGATTTGGAGGGATATGGGCCATATGCAGGTGAGTGGGACTACTTTAGTTTGGGAACATGGTTGGCGTGTACTGTTGGACCTAAATGTCTGTTTCCATGCTGTATGACTCTATGACGAGCAATTGTTATCCATCCCTAATTGACATAGATCTGAGTGGTTTGCTGGGACATATGAGAGACCATTTAAGAGTCACCATGTTGCTGTGGTCTGGAGTCAGCCGTTCAAGAACACTAGAGAATCCACTACATCCACCGCATCTGGGCTATCAGGCATTGTCTTATTCAAAAGACGGTTTTCCAGTACTGCATACTCTTGCCAATCTAGATTATACTCTCAAATCTCTGGATTGGGATTTGAATCCATGGTTTTGGTCAGAAGTGAGAGTGCTATCACTGAGCCTAGATTGACAATATAAGGGAATGCTGACTGATATTGTATCAACCTAGACAAAAATTAAACTGGATTTCCTGTTCTTTTATGCAAAAAAGAGATGTGCTGCTGAAGTTTTTTGTCTAGCACTCATCAGAACAAATGCCAAATCACAACAATCTATACAACTAGAGAAAAGGGAGCTGATTGGTTCACAAGTTGACTCTAATTGACTGTGGCATCATGGAAGACAGTGTTGTAGACCGTTTGACTCCCACGTTTACAGCTGGTAGAATTTAAACTCAATTAATAAAGTCTAGAATTGAAAGCCAGTGTCACTAATGGTGAACAGTTGTCATCCTTTGTTGTAAACTCCACCTGGTTCATTATATTTCTTTCCCTAAAGAATAGTACTTGCCTTACCCTGTCTAGCCTATATGTGATTCTATATCCATAATAATGTAGTAAACTCTTAACTGCCTCTGAAATTGCCCAGCGAGCAACAAAATTGAAAAACAGTTCAGGATGGCCACCAAATGCTGGTCTTGCCAGCTCCACCCATGTCCATGAAAGAATAGATAAGTGTCCAAGTTCCTGGGAAATTCAAAAAAATACACATATTACTTGTTTACCCATCCTGTATTATACATTCATGTGATTATTTGAAAATCAACGTTCTTGGAGGTCCTGATAAGTATGGGATGGAGAGCTTCACCAACATGTCTGTCGCATCATCAGCATTCAAATTCTGCGCTGCCAAGTGATTGCTGTTCCTTTTTTTTTTGAAAAATGTGAAAAGATGTCATGCGTGAGGATAACTGTTCAATCATAACATCTCATAAAATGATCCGACTGAAATCTGATACCTGTATAATGTTTCAACCAGTGATTGGCTCCTACCTGGTGTTATTCTGTTTTGATGTTAAAACCTGAGCATTACATACAAATAAATATTTAAAAAAAAGGCAAGAATCAATGAATCATAAATTCCAAGAAAGCAGCAATTATTCTTTCCAAGGAGAATTAAGGTGGGTAGAAACAGATCCCATGATCAAATAATAAAAAGAGAATCTTTCACCCATTGTGTCACATGTAATCTCTCTGGAGCATCACTTTTTTTTGCTATTAGTTACTGCAGAGAGCAGTTACTGTTTTAACACAGGATTTTATGCAAATGAATTGTTCAATACTTTTGGTAGTATTAGTTGAGGGAAGGGAATTAATCTGAATATCAGTATCATGGTAACATCTGAATCACAAAAATTCATAAACTTGGTTTAACATTTCACCTTAAATCATGTGGTCAAATTCTGAAAAGGAATTTGTATTTGTATAGCACCTTACAATGTCTGGGATCATGAAATGTGCTTTGCGGCAAATGAAGTACTGTTTGAATTGCAGGCCCTATTGTGAAGTAGGAAACGCTGAAGCTAATTTAAGTACTGCAACCAGCCCCTCCCTCCACCCCCACCCCAACCCAGAACCAGAAGTAACCAGGCAATGCTGTTTTAGTGATAGTGGTTGAATTAATATTAGACAACACATGAGCAGAACTCCCTGCTCCTCTTCGAAATAATGCTGTGAGAATCTTTTCGACAGGGCCTCAGTTTGCCATTTTTCAGTTGTGTTTCAGTAGTGCCTGGTGTGTCAGCTCACTGGTGCGGAGTCAGGGGTGTTATCCAATGAGCCATGGCTGCCCCTATCCAGAGTAGAGCAGCATGTTATACTTAATATCCTCTGTCAGCACCACCTGAAATATATTTTTGCATTTACAGTTTGTTGGTGTACAAGTGGGCTCTTGTGGTGCAGTGGTAGTGCCCTTGCCTCTGGATCAGCAGGCCTGGGTTCAAGTGTCGCCTGCCTCAGAGGTGTGTGTGACACCTCTGAACAAAAACAGAATTTGCATTAATATTTCGGGCCCATGGACTTTTCTTCAGAGCCTTTAACTCTGTTTCTCTCTCCACAGATGCTGCCAGATCTGCTGAGTTTCTCCAGCAATTTCTGTTTTTACTTCAAATTTCCAGCATCCCCACAGTTCTTTGTTTTACATCTTTGAACAGGTTGGTTTGAAAATATCTTACAAGGTGTATTGTCAGAAATGCATTCACTCACATAACAACGACTATGCTTCAAAATAATGCATTATCTGTGATGTTTTGGGACATTTCTGAAATATTTTATGATGCACAAAACAAGTATTTATGTATTCTGTCAGAACAGTTACAATTTAAAACAAAAATCCCAGGTTTGCCTTTGCATCTCCCTGTAGCAGTATGCGCACCGCAAGGAGGGATGTTAATCGTGAGGTTTTTGCAGCTTGTTCTGTTTTTATTTCAGATTTCTAGTATCTGCAGTGGCTTGCTTTTGTAAGTTGTTCATTTATCTGATTGCTGTATTTGGGTTCTTGGTACGAGCAAATCGGCTGTGTAATTCATCTGGAAAACAACAATGCCTGCAGTTGAAACTAACTAATTGGCTGGGATGTTGTAAGATCAGGGAACGTGTTTTAGGAAATGCAGATTCTTTCTCCAAATTTATTTGATTCTCCACATTTATGGTCCAGTGCACTGTGGCAGCCTTGTTGAGTTTGGGGTTTTGTGATCACAGTTGGCAGCAATTTGTTGCAATTTTCTGATAGTTTATTGAATTTGTTCAGAAGCAGCACTTTATGATGCATCATATAATCAGGTAAAGTACATGACCATGACATTTGGGATGGTTCATTGATACCATTGATAGGCTTGAAGAGTGGAATGTGTTGGTCTTGTTAAAGTTGTGAAGGCAGCATTCTGCTCTATAGCTAAGGTGTTAGGAACTCTTCCCTGGGTCGTCCTCCCCTTCTTCTAGTCCATCTTCCATCTTGAGAAACAGCTCTTTGAGGACTGCCTAATGAGCACTGACCTCTGCCCCTGAGCACTTGTTGATATACCCAGTTTCAAGGGGGTGATAGCTTCCTCTGTGTCAATGAATTGTCTGAATCCTTTCGGCAAATGACCATGGAACCAATACTCATGATGTCAGATGATTGTTGCCCCCTTACCAGCCTCCATTTGAAAGAACAAAACCTTATTTTCACAAGCATTGTAGTCATAATAGGGGAGTGTGGTGCCTGATAACTCTTTTGTTTATGCTGATAGAAGGCTAGTTACTACAGTAACACGGTTAAATGAGGTCTCATGCCACGCAGGAAATAATAAATAGGAATGCTAAGTGAATGCAGGTTTAAAAGGGATACCAACTTCCAACAGCTGTTCGATGTCAATATGCTAAGACTTCTGTGTCATATTTTTTCTGATGTTCGTCTTGTAACTCCTCAAAAAATCACCTGGTTATAATGTCCGGAAGCATTTCTTAATTTTTTGAAGTATCTCATTGCTATATTTCCATTCTACGAGCCCTTAATGTAACAAATGGCATGGTGCACAAGCTTAATTTAATTAGGGCATTATTCTAACACTGCGCTATGGAATACATTAATGTCATCCTTCTTTAATCTACAGGTTTGCGAAGCCTTGTCCTTTCTACACAGTAGTGTGAAAATGATTCATGGTAACCTGACGCCAGAGAATATCATTTTGAATAAAAGTGGCGCCTGGAAAATCATGGGTTTTGACTTTTGCATCTCTTCATCTAATCCCTCAGAGCAGGAGGTAAGGACAATGGAGTTAATCAGCTGGCTGCTTTTTTCCTATTTATAATTTTAACAAGACATTATCAAACAGAAAGTCTGTTATTTCCTGAATTAGAAAAACATACTCAAAACACAAACTCCTTCGAGAATGAGAACTGCCTGCAAAGTCTTGATTGATTTTTGAAGAATATAATTTAAATAGTTCTTTTTGCTTTTTAATACTATTCATTTGTGAATTTATTTTAAGATTTGTCCCTTTTTTTTGCAAAAGAGAAATATTTTCAAGTTGTGAGATGGTGATATAGTGTTTTTATGAACATCAGTTCTTGTAATACGAGAGACATGGCAATGTCACATTTATTGTCCAACCCCCAAGAAAAGTGTTGGAAGCAACCCTACAGAGTTGAAGTTAGCCTAGCATTGTGTGATCTTTGTCCCATATCAGGCAAATCACAAAACATGGCAGTTTTTCTTCCCGAAGATAGAAATGAACTACTTAGATTTCTGTGATAGTTTGGCCATTCTTCTGACTCATATCTTTTGTACTTGTGGGATTTGATTTCCTGATCTCTGAGTTGCTGGACAAGTGTTGTGACCACTGGACTCCATCGCTTGTACCTTGCTGAATTTCTTTGGGGTTTGTTTTTTACTCAGTCACTCACCTTGGGTTTTTCATCTTGTTGAATGCACTTTATAATTTTCAGATCTAACTGAGGTGTGTGAATGGTCTAGAGTTGGACTTTGAAAGTAATTGTAACTGTCCAGTGCAAGCAATAAGTAAATTAGCTCAGTTGGCTGGTTTGTGATACAGAGTGACAGCAACCTAATGGTTCAATTCTTGTACTGACTGAAGTCGCCAAGAAGATCCCACCTTCTCGACCTTGCCTGGGGCATGGTGACCCTCAGACAACTGGTGGTAGTTCAACCTTTCTGTAATTATACCAGCCCTACAGTCCTCTGGGACTATGGAGATTATACCTTGCGTTTACAGCGAATAGGTGCTTTGTTGTTTTCTGAATTGATAGTAGATGGAATCTGTGAAACCTGTACTTTAATTCAACCTAGACAAATTAAGGAACAGTAATAGATTTCCAGATTAGGGTGGAGTGGGCCAATGTAGCACTTTTGCCGTTCTTGGATTACTTGATGTAGCGATTGCAGAGCTGAGAGAGTAACTTTGCTGAACTGGTGCACTTGATGCTGCAGATAGTACACATTACAGCAATGATGTATTAGTGATAGAGACTGTAGATATTGCATCCTCAGCATGGGACCCCAATCAATCAAACAAATTGTTGAGCTGTGTCCATTTCAGTGATGAGATGTTTTTTGCCATCATATTCGTAACTTAAGCCTTGGATCTGGTTGGATGGCGCTTTGGTGAGCTACTTTGTCTAGATTTTCAGCTTCTGTTTTGTTCGTGTAATTACAATATTGGCCTGTCTGACCCAGTCTCCCTGTTTGATTTTATTTCATTTACTGGATGTGGTATTGCCACTGGTAAGGCCATCTCTAACTGCCTTTGGGGAAGTGATGCCAGCTACTGGTCATCAGTGGCACCGTACAGATGACCGTTGATGATGTGTGAATGTTGTTCAAGGTTAATAGATGTTGGACTTCTTGTTGGAGATGGACACCATTTGATATGACATTTGTCTGTCAGTTACCAACCCAGGCCTGCATGTTGTCTAGGTTCTGCTGTAGGCTGGCAGGTGCTATTTCAGAAATGGAAGAGTTCTAAATAGTCCCACCCCCAAAGAGAGGATGCTTCATTGATGAGGAAGCTGAAATCTACAATATCATAAAAAGACGAGGCACTTTTCTCTGTTCCTCATGCAGCACAACAGACTTAAATGATACATTGCACATGGTGTGTGTAGCGTGCTTTGGAGGAACAGGTAACTTTGGGCATGTACTTTCCACTTCTCCACACTTTCATGTCAGGGTCAATTGTAGACCTATTGATAGAGAAGGATTGGAGACAAATTGGGATGAGCATCAGTTATGAGGGTAGCTTGAAATTGGGACTTTTCTCATTGGAGAGAAGAAGGCTGGATGTGGCTAGGTTGGATAAATAGGAAGAAACTGTTCCCTCTTGTAACAAGAACAAGAACAAGAAGGCATAGATTGAAAGTGATTTGCAGAAGGAATAAATGTGATATGAGAAAAGCTTTTTTGTGGAGTGAGTAGGTAGGTGTGGAATTCACTGCCTGGAAGTGTGGTGGAGGCAGGTTGAATTGAGACATTGAGAGGGTATTGGGGAAATCAGTGGTATGGGGGAAATCACAATGCTCATTTGAAACGTGAGTGCAGACACAATGCATCAAACAACGCCTACAGTCCTCTAGTACTTTTGTGAAATTAATGGAGATAAATTTTCCTGCATAGTCAACAGCTCTATTTGTATCAAATGATAACCAGGATGGTCGAAGGTGACCTTGATGGACTCGGGTCTTTCATTCACCTATTGATTGTGGCATTCCTGTATTACTGGTGTGTTATGTGAGTGGATGTGATGCTATTTCTACAAACATAGCTGCAGTCACTAGGCTTTGTAAAATGATATTTGGAAGCTCTTGAACTTAATTGAACACTTGATAAAAAATAATATTTAGTAAAACTCTGGCCCTTTATTTCAACCTTGTTCAGGTCAGAAAGATAAGCACAGATGAAGGAAATGGGAAGTCTAAATCATCCTTTTTATACAACCCTGCTAAAGGCCCAATATATTCTCCCCATCTAACTGCCTGTAGAATGTCCTCTACCCAGGGATTATTCGAAATGTTAACCATTCTGTGAAAATGTTCTCTATTACATTAGTTCTAAGTTTGTCTTTTTCCAATTTGTACCTTGCTCTTCCTGGTCTCGAAGTGAGGAACAGCATTTAGTTTATTAACCAAGAGCTTTTAAAATATAAGATGTGACAGGACAAAATCTCTTTGTTTTATGATTCAAATGCTTGCTGTGCCATTTGATTGGAAGCTTGGTGAATGGCTTGATTTTAGCACGAAAATGGACATTGTAAACAAAGTTGCATTTCATGGACATATTTCTTAACGGTAATTACTCGCCGGTATAGTCATTGGTATGGTCTTTTGTCTCTGAACTTTTCCCTTATATTTGGGTGTGTGCAGTCTTGTGATCTTTTTGGGTCCCTTACCTTGTCCCAAAGTAGACCTAAATTCTTATAATGGAAACCTGACAGGTTGCTGTTTTGTTGTCCCTCACCACCCTCTCACCCTGATGGAGTATGATTGAACAGTGGGCTCCTGGGTCTATGCCAGTGACTTGCAAGCAAACCTTGTACATGCTTTATCTCTGTGACTTTGCTTGTGACAGCATCTGTGTTTTATTTCTGACAAAATCTGAACTGAGTTAAACAATTGAGCCTCCTACCCATGTCCATCCCTCTTCAAAGGGCTGTGAAAGGGCAGCAGGTGCACCACACTGTACTTAGTGGACATGTCATTTTGGCTGATGAGTGGAGTGTGAAAAAAATGTCTCAAAATGGTGATACTTCAGAGACAATTGATCAGAAATAATGTGTACAGAATGGAAGTTCTAATTAATGTTATTTACCCCCTCGTCTTTGCACTTTATGATCAATGCAGGAATGATAAACACTAGTTATGAGGCACTGGGGCTATTTCCATTGGAGAAGAAAGGGTAAGAGGAAATTTAATAGAAATTGTCGAAGTGGCGTAGTAGATTTTGGTGGGATCAGTAAAGCTAGAACTATTTTTTCAATGTAGGGTGTCAGTGATGAATGATGGATTTACAGTTGTTACTAAGTGGAAAGACATAGTTCTGCAGGTGGGTGTGGAATGTTTAGGCACAGGGAGTAGATAAAGCATCTGGAAGTGAAGACTTGATAAATTTCTGAAGCAAAGGACTTATAGGGCTGTGAGGAGGGGTAGATCAATATTTGTTTTCAAAATGAGTTGGGCGGTCATGTTTTGGCTGTACAGGCCATTGATTAGGCCACTTTTGGAATACTATGTGCAATTCTGGCCTACCTGCGGTAGGAAAGATGTTGTGAAATTTGGCAGTGTTCAGAAAAGATTTACAAGGATATTGCCAGGGTTGGAGGGTTTGAGCCATAAGGAGAGGTTGAATAGACTGGGACTATTTTCCCTGGAGCGTCAGAGGCTGAGGGCTGACCTTTATAGAGGTTTATAAAATAATGAAGGGCAAGGATAGGTTGAATAGTCAGGTCATTTCCCCAGGGTAGGGGAGTCTAAAAGTAGAGGGAATAGGTTTAAGGTGAGAGGGGAATGATTTAAAAAGGACCTGAAGGGCACCGTTTTCACGCAGAGGGTTGTGCATGTATGGAATGAAGCGCTAGAAGAAGTGGTGGCGGCTGGTACAATTACAACATTTAAAAAGCATCCGGATGGGTATATTAACAGGAAGGGTTTAGAGGGATGTAGGCCAAATGCTGGCAAATGGGACGAGTTTAATTTAGGATATCTGGTCGGCATGGACAGGTTGGACCAAAGGGTCTGTTTCTGTGTTGTACATCTCTAAGGCTCTTAATTGCTCTCACAAAGAACTGGCAGTGTTAAGATGATTCAACTGGCTTCTTCTGTGCTGCAAACATCTTTGATCTCATGCTGCAAGAACTGCCCGGTCTTGTTGCATTTCCTTCTGTGTGAAAATGGCCACATCCTTGCACAGCACAAATCAGATGAGCAAACAGTGGAGCTGGATTATCAAATTGGCGCACAGTACTTGACACAGCCCTCCTGCCTCTAAACTGCCACCGGAATGTTCAGTGATCGGCAGTATAATGCTGCATTTAATTTTTTTGTTCTCAGTTTAATTGGAAGGGAGAGTGCTTTTAAATGATGAGAAAAACAAAGCAAAACTATCACCACTGCTTGGAAAGCAACAAAACAATAAGGGTAGTACTGTGAGCAATTTTGGCCCCCATTTGAAAGGAAAGATACCGTTTTATTGGAAGGGATAATAAGAACTGCAGATGCTGGAGCCAGAGATAACACAGTGTGAACTGGAGGAACACTGCAGGCCAGGCAGCATCAGAGGTGCAGGAAAGTTGACGTTTCGGGTCAGGACCCTTGTTCAGAAATGGAGTGAGAGGGAAGGGAGCTCAGAAATAAATAGAGAGAGGAGGGGTGAGGCTGGGGAAGGTAGAGGGGAAGGTGATTGGTGAGTGCAGGGTAGGGAGTGGTGGGAGGAGCGGATATGTGGGAGAGAAGATGGACAGGTTGTGTCAGGTCAAGGAGGCAGGGATGAGAGGGAGGGTTGGTCATGGGCTGAGGCCGGGGGTGGGGAGATTTTGAAACTGGTAAAATCCACATTTAGGCCATTGGGCTGTCAGCTCCCGAGGCAGAATATGATTAGTCAGTGAGATGGGAGGAGCGGATAGGTGGGAGAGAAGATGGACAGGTCAAGGAGGCTGGGATGAGAGGGAGGGTTGGTCTTGGGATGAGGCGGGGCATGGGGAGATTTTGAAACTGGTAAAGTCCACATTTAGGCCATTGGGTTGTCGGCTCCTGAGGCGGAATATGAGGTGCTGCTCCTCCAGTTTGCGGGTGGCGTCATTGTGACACTGGAGGAGGCCCAGGATGGACATGTCACCCAGGAATGGGAGGGGGAGTTGAAATGGTTCGCAACTGGTAAGTGTTGTTGTTTGTCGTGAACAGAGCGCAGGTGCGCTACAGAGTGGTCTCCAGTCCTCTCCTTGGTCTCACCGATGTACAGGAGGCCACATCGGGAGCAGTGGATGCAGTAGACCACATTGATGGATGTGCAGGTGAACCACCTTCCACATTAGATAGAGTTTCACTAGCATATCTATCAATGTGGTCTACTACATCCACTGCTCCCGATGTGGCCTCCTCTACATTGGTGAGACCAAGCGGAGGCTCAGAGACTGCTTTGTAGCGCACCTGCACTCTGTTCACGACAAACAACAACACTTACCAGTTGTGAGCCATTTCAACTCCCCCTCCCACTCGCTGGGTGACATGTCCATCCTGGGCCTCCTCCAGTGTCACTATGACGCCACCCGGAAACTGGAGGAGCAGCACCTCATATTCCGCCTCAGGAGCCGACAACCCAATGGCCTAAATGTGGACTTTACCAGTTTCAAAACCTCCCCACGCCCCGCCTCATCCCAAGACCAACCCTCCCTCTCATCCCAGCCTCCTTGACCTGTCCATCTTCTCTCCCACCTATCCACTCCTCCCACCTCACTGACTAATCCCCACCACTCCCCACCTGCACTCACCTATCACCATCCCACCTGCCTTCCCCAGCCCCACCACTCCTCTCTCTCTTTCTGAGCTCCCTTCCCCTCCTCCCATTTCTGATCAAGGGTCCCGACCTGAAAAGGCAACTTTCCTGCTCCTCTGATGCTGCCTGGTCTGCTGTGTTCCTCCAGTTCACCATGTTATCCCGTTTTATTGGAAGCAGTTCAGAGAAGGTTGATTAGGATGATCCCTGGTAAGAAGGATTGTCTTATAAACAAAAGCTAAATTGGTTCAGTCCCAATGAAAAGACTGAGAACAATGAGAGGTGATCTCATTGAAACAAATAGGATTCTTAAGAGACTTCACAGGGTAAATGCTGAGAGGATGTTTCCCCACATGGGAGAGTCTAGGACCAGAGGGCATAGTCTAAGAATAAAGGTGCGCCAATTCAAGACTGAGATGAGGAGGAATTTCTTCTCTCAGAGAGCTGAGAGTCTTTGGAACGCCTTGCCAAAGAGAGCTGTGGGGACAGGGTCCTTGTGTATATTTGAGGCTGAGATAAATAGTTTTTTGATCAGTCGGGCAATCAAAGGTTAGAGGGAAAGGGCAGGAAAGTGGATGTGAGGAATGTCAAATCGGTCATGATCCTATTGAATTGTGGAGCAGGCTTGAGGGCCAAGAGCCTACTCCTGATCAGATTTTTTTTTTTAGATAATCTTTTTATAATCTTCTGGTCTAAAATAACTGTCAGTTAATTTTCCCTGTTGGATGAATTGTATTTACGTCATACTTTTTAAGGACTTAGTTTTGGAAGGTTGACTTGGAGGAGGAAAGTCAAGTGAAAATGCTTAGGAAGGAAGTTCCAGAGCTTGGGGTCTGGGCAACAGAAAGGTGTGGCTGCCAGTAGTGAGGCAAAGAAAATCAGGAATGCACCAGAATAAGAAAGAAAAAGCTCTTAAAGGCTTGTAGCACTGGAGCAGATTACAGAGATTGGAAGGGGTGAGCTTGGAGAGATTCGTACCCAAGGATAATTTTAATATTGAGACATTGCTGGATTTAAAGAAACAACAGGTTTTAATAAATGACTTTGTTTTGAAGAAAAGGTTTGACTTGTATTTAATTGAATCATTGAATATTTTGCTTGTCCTCTTTACAGCTTACATTTAGTTGCAAGGAATGGGACCCAAATCTTCCTCCTTTGTGCCTCCCTAACCCTGAATATGTTGCTCCAGAATATATCCTGTCAGTGAGTTGTGATCTGGCCAGTGATATGTACTCGTTAGGAGCTGTCATGTTTGCTGTGTTTAATGATGGCAAGCCTATCTTCGAGGTCAACAAGCAGGATATTTTCAAGAGTTTCAGCAGACAGCTAGATCAGGTAATGTCCTGCAAACTTCCCTTTTCCCTAGTGAACTGCCAAACTCTTCCTCACTGTAACCACCCGTTCTCACTGTAACCACGACCATTGCTCTAGTTTCACATTGTCAGACTCCTCTCTTGCTGCTTTAACTAATATTTGTAAATGGCTCCCACATTTCAGTTGGTGTCCTCCAACCACCCATGACTCCTGTCAAAACCACAGTCATCAAAAAAATTCCAGTGTTCTTGCAAATACAGATCCATCTCCACCTCTCCTTTCTCCTTGAAATCTATGCACATATGTCTCACAACCTGGTGCTTTGAATCTCTCTCCTGCCACACTGCTGAACTACCCCATTCATTGACAAATAGCATCCTTCGTGAGTGCGATATTAATGCACTGTCCTTCCTCATTCTCCTCTGTCTATCGACAAAAACCATGCTTCTCCATTATCTAGTTCGTGAGATTGTCCTTATTTGGTGTTGAATTATTGTCGAAGTGTCTTTAGCAGTGGGTACTCATCCTGCTGCTACAATTTTTCCTTTGCAGCCCCAGAGAGATATGTCCTTGACCCATCTTCTTTCAAAACAGCAGGAAGCAGGCACTCTGCCATTTAAACCTATTCAGTCATTCAATGAGATCACAACTGATGTGCATTAAATCCATTTACTTACCGTTGCTCCATATTCCTTCATAATCTATCAATCTGTGTCTCATTTTACATTTGATCTCCATCTCCTCCCTTCTCAGTCACTTGGATTCCATTTCCCAGCTGGCCTGGCCTGAATTTGGAGGTTAAAGAATGCTCTGTGACCCATCCTCAATTGTCCTTTGAATATATCAACAAATCCTAACTATTGAACGAAGCCTTTTGCGTGGTGCCCATTTTCTCACCTCTTTGTGAGACGCAATGGGATTTTTTTTACCATCAGAGGTATTGTGTAAATACAATTATTTCTTGATTTGAGGTTTAAGTTATTAACGTCTTTTCAATTCTGCAGCTCACCCGTTTAGGCCCCAACATACTGCAGAAGGTTCCTGAAGAGGTTCGGGAGCACATGAAATTATTGCTGAATGTAACTCCCACTGTCAGACCAGATGCTGACCAGCTGAGTAAGGTAAACAAAAAAGACAGTCCATGACTTTTAATTATAATTCTTCCACATGTTACCAATCAGTTGCATAACTGACCCCAGTGCAGAAGTTGGAGTATTTTTAACTGTGGATCTACATTCAAAAGTGTAGTGATTGATGTAGGTAGGTAGCACACTCCCACAAACAGCAATAGGATGGTTGAGCAGGTGTCGGGTTGATAATGTTTAGTTAAGTTGATCAGAGCACTTGGGAGAATACTTCTGTTGTTCTTTGAAGTACAACCGTGGATTTTTTTAGATGCACGACACGACAATGCTCAAAATACATGGGTGAATTTGTGCACTGAAAATCCCTAAAGGTTGTTGGAAAATTCACCCAGATGCTGGTCTGATTGGAAAAAAAGTCATCCATGTAAGTTAAACCAAAGAAATGGCAAGGAGGGTGACTGTGGGGTGGAGAGACTATAGCATAGGAGCAAGGTAGTGGGGATAAGCAGGGAGGCTGCAAGAAATGGGAGTACATCCAAGAGGGCTGAGGGGAGATCGGAGTTCTGTAATGGGAATGTGGGAAATTGGCGCCTATAAGTAGGTAAGGGGAGACTGGAGGCCACAAGGTGGCAAGGGGGAGGCAAGAGAGGTTGTAAGGCAATTGTGGGAAGACAGGCAGGACACAGGATGCTGGGGGCATGTAGAGTGCTGCAAAGGCAGTGGAGAAGACAGAGGAGCCTGTAAAGTGGGTTTGAGGAAATGGCTGTATGAGGAAACTAGTGTGTGGAAAAGAGAGTGAGGCTTTGAGAGGTGAGAGACAGAAGGGAGCTTCAAGGCCTGGTGGGAGACAGAGAGTGGGGCTGCATGGGGGCCAGAGAGCTCGTCTACATACAAGAAAGAACAGTTACAAAACGGGGTATAATGGATAGTAACTGACTGGTTCAGATCTTGGAGCTTCGTGAATTGTGATGGAAATGCATTAACTGTGACCTCACCAAATTTGGAAGCTGTGTTTAGAATAATGGGCTTTTTTTGTTGGTAGAATTGTATCAGTTACTTGGAAAAAAATGTGGTTACTCATTTAGTGGCTGTTGTTTTGTACTAAAGTAAATACTGTATTGAGAGAATCAATGCTTTCCTTGTGTGTTGTGGGTTTTAAGTTTAATGATCAGTTGTTAATTATTAATGATGATGAATATTTCTAATTCTGCTTCTGAGAGTGTTCAAATGCCTGGTACATCGCCACAGATACTGAAGGTAATGTTACTATTTGACTGTGTCACCTAATAAAGGAGTTAATGAGAATGAGCAAGGAGCCCTTGAGAAAATAATTTTGTAGCCTACTACACAAGTTCCAGCACTGATCCCCCAACAGTGCAGTGTGACATTGGTACTGCCACCTCAGTGTTGGTAAGTTGTACACAATTTCCTTTCTGATGAAATATCTGCTTTTTCCAGATTCCATTTTTTGATGATGTAGGTGCCATGACTCTGCAGTATTTTGATTCACTCTTTCAACGAGACAACCTCCAGAAATCACAGTTTTACAAAGGTCTGCCAAAAATCTTGGCAAAGCTTCCAAAGGTATGTTTGTCATAAGTATGACTTGAAATGGTTATCATTGAAATGCACACTCAGAACAGGAGGCTGAGAACCATGGGGGTGTGACTGCACATTGTAACATGCTCTACTATTCATATTTGATTTGATAATGCCACAAATAAAAATGTTTTAAAACCAAAAAACATTTGGAATTTGAAGTAAAATTAGAACATGCAGATTTCTGAGGTGAATGCAAGGTTGAATTGAAAGACTATTTATAGGGCAAGTGTAGAAAAAGATGTCAAGACAAGTGGAAAAAAAGTGAGAGAAACTCCAGACAGAGGCGGATTGAGTAACAACTTGACAATGTCAAATATTTAAGTATTACAGGACAAATTGATCGTGTTAAGAAAGAAAACAAACAGGATCCTGGGCTTTGTAAATAAGGCATAGGGCACAAAACCAAACAAGTTATGGTAAACCTTTGGAAATCACGTATTTTGGACTTCAGCTGGACTGTTGTATCCCACTGGAGTTACGTGAAGACTCAGACAAGGTGCACAAGAGGTAGACAAGAATTACACCAGTGAAGGACTTCAGATGAAAAAAGACTAGGAAAACTGGGATTATAAAACCCTAAGGCAATAAGATGTAAGAGCAGAAGTAGGCCATTCACTCCATTGAACCTTCTCTGCCAATTAATGAACGTGTAACCATTATCTGTTGCCTGGTTCCATTTTGTCTCAGGCATCCCTGAACCAGAACCCTGCTAGATGATAGCAGTGATATGCAAAGATGAAAAGCTGGGACACCAATCATGTACTAGATTAAAGAAACTGCATTATTAGTGATGTGACTATCTTATGGTTTTGGTAAGTGATCCTTAAAACTTGAATATTTTAAAGCCACTGAGAAATATGTGCACAGAGACGGTGGTTGGATTTTCATTCCTGTTTCCGATCCCACCATCCATGTGAAATGCAGTTTGGGAACCTGGAAAAGCCAGCAGTGGGACTGCCTCCAGGAATTCCTTCCCATTAAGGATGCCAGGTGGACTTTCCAGATTGCAGGGCCTGTAGGAGGCCCTCTAGACATCAACAGACCAGCAGTCCCAATGCTAGGGTTCGATGCTGTAATGTAGGTTGCACAATGATGGTGGAGGCATCCGTGAAGAATTTTAATGGACCTTGATGTTAATTCTATTCTCTTCCTCTGAGTCAGTCATTTCCTTCACAACAGGTCCCAGCTGGTATTAGTTTCTGGGATTGACCCAGAGCCCATGTTCACAAATGTTGTGTCTCCTCAGGGCTGTGCACTTGTCACCTATCCTTCTTATCTTTTTTTTTTAATTCACCCATTGAACATGGGCATCACTGGCTAGGCCAGCATTTATTGCCCATCCCAAGTTGCTCTTGAGAAGATGATGGTGCACTGCCGCCTTGAACTGCTGAAGTCCATATGCTGTCAGTAGACCCACAATGCATGGGGAGGATGGAGGTGTGTGGTGCGTGAAATGCCAGGATTTTGACCCAGCGACACTGACGGAGCAACGATATATTTCCAAGTCAGGATGATGAGTGGGTTGGAGGGGAACTTCCAGATGGTGGTATTCCCATACATCTGCTGCCCTTGTGCTTCTAGATGTAAGTGGTTGAGAGTTTGGAAAGTGCTGACTAAGAAGCCTTGGCTAATTTCAGCTATTGTCAGCAATGGATGAGTAATTGTCACTCCCCTGGTACACACTCCCTCAAAATAGCTCGAAGGCAGAACTGTTGTCACAGTCCGACATGCAGCACGATTGTGGGAAATTGTCATCATTCCCAATTCTGGTTCCTCCACTTCATCTCTGCAAAAGTTCACCCCCTCTATTAGTAACCAGTTAATTTGGTTCTTTGTATAATTTACAGATAAGACCAACTAGAATTTGTGTTAGGGACATATTTATCAATCTGTCCCATTGATTCAATGAGTTTCACTGCATTCTAATGCAGTATCACATGTACTAATCATCATCCTGTTCCTTCTTGATTCCAGCGGGTTGTAATACAACGCATTCTGCCAAGCTTGACATCTGAATTTGTGAATCCAGATATGGTGCCCTTTGTCCTACCCAATGTCCTTCTCATTGTTGAAGAGTGTACCAAAGAAGAGTATGTCAGGCTGATTCTCCCAGACCTTGTTCCTGTTTTCCGGCTCCAGGAACCCATTCAGGTATCAGAAATCAAGACCAGGGGAAATCACAAAGCTTTGAGTAACAGGAGTATTTTCTTTCATGTACTTGAGCAGTTTAACAACATCTGCAAGCTGAATAATCAAGAGTAATTGTAGTCAGTTTTCCCACAATCGTTCTAACTTAATGATTGATGGGTGTACATGGAGGGGCTTCATTTGGTTTTGCGCATGATACCCGTTCAGTTTATACTGTTGACTGATCTTGGATTAAAATTGGCTTCACATCCATCCCCCTGAGACCTAATTGTCCTGTGACTTTGCAACTGCATGTTGATTGTGATATTGCTTTATGTGAAGACTTGCTGTGTTTTGGTCTGTGTGGAATTTCAGCTGTTATGGATTGTTTTTATGTGGTATATGTTATGCTTACCTACCTTTTGTGATGCTGTTTCCTATATGTTGCAAGTTCCAAGTTAGTAAATTATCCTTTTGCTTTTCATGCTTCAGGCTAGCAACATGGTGAGTTTGATGTATATCGTTAAGTATATATTTTTCAAAATAAAAGCAAGAGGCACTGTTGGCTGTTGCATTTTACACAAGATTTCTGCTTTTCTTTATTTTCTTGCACTTTACTCTGTGTTGAAGCAGAAAGCTAATCACTTGACATTGCTTTTTTTCTTAACATATTTTCATGGTTGCTATAGGTTTTGCTGATCTTCTTGCAAAAGATGGATTTGCTGTTGACTAAAACTCCTCCAGACGATATCAAGAACACAGTTTTACCCATGATTTACAGGGCCTTAGAAGCACCATCAATTCAGATTCAGGTATAGCCTTATTGAGGGGCATGGAGTGATCTGGGGCATCCTGGCACCAAGTTCTTTGCTGCAGCAATTACCACTTAATGTGTATAAATAATGTCTTTCTTAAAAACCTGAATTGTAAATCCCATTTAATCATGCCAGTGCTAGCATTTAAAGCTAACTACACCGGTTCCTCTGCTAGAGCCTGTAGAAGCTTACTTTTCAAGCATATCTCGGATTTTCTTTTAAAGATTGCTATCAAACCTGCTTCTATTACCCTTTTCAAGCATCCAATTCCTAATGAATACAACGCATAGTATTATTTTAACCTACACTTATAATTTGCAGTAAATCCACACTGAATATCCAGTCAAAGTGCAACCAGGCAGTCTGCCGATTAAAGGTAGACATTACTTGTTTAAAGGGATAGAATGTTTAAAAAAAAGGATCTAATGTTTATTAGGCTACAGTTCAGCAAATATGTAAAAGCACTGGATAAATACAACATAGGTGTAGTTTGCCAGGAATGAGAGGTTAAAGTTTTGATAAGAAAATTGAAGATTTGTGATTTTTCAATAGAGCTCCCTCATTTAAGTCATGGAGATCTTCAGAATTGTATGAATCTGTGACTAATGGCACACATAAAGAAGACCCACTTGTTCTTTCATTCTGTGTGATTCAATTTCTGATATGTAAATATTAATATCTCCCTGACTGTACGACCTGCCATTTCACAAGAAGCTGTGGCGTTTCCTGGAAGAGGCTAGATAAAGTACTCAATCCAAAATTTGGAAGCTTCTTCTTCCCTTCCCTCAAGTGATCCAGAGGGTCACTCTGGTCCTGATTAACAATGTGCAGAGCCTTCCTTTTGTATGAGGCGATTGCTTCACAGTCTAGCAACAGTTTGGCTTGAAGGCGTTGAATGAATTGATTTTCATTGCACAATCTGGCAACCTGTTCTCCAGGTTTGTTATTCATTGTCCTCTCTGAGGCGTTCTTCTGGTATACATTGCAAAAATTCGTTTCCAGTGGCCCACGACATATTTAGAAGATGCAAGAAATTTATAATGAAGAGTCGAGGGAGGTTAGGAGAACAAGTGTCATTTCATCAGAGGTGGCTTGGATGTAGAATTCTCTGTTGCAAAAATGCTGAGTCCACAAGTTTTGACAATGTTCTGTTATACTTTGATCGAGTAAACAGCAGTAGAAATGACTTTTATAATAGCACTTTGCATTCCCTCAGGATGTTCCAAAATACTTCAGAACCAGCAAAGAACTTTTGAAGTATTGTCACTTCTGTAATGTATGGAAATTTGGCAGTCAGTTTTCATCTCCCATGAACAGCCTCGTGATGATCACCGGATAATTTGATTTCAGTATTGTTAATTAAGGGATACATATTGACCAAGAAATCTTAAGTAGCCCTTCAGTTCCTGCGCAGCAGCAACTGTGGAATTTTCAAAATGCACCTGAGAAGACAAATGTGGGTGCCTGTTTCATATCTCTCACAGGCAGGGGTGTAATTGAGAGATACAGTGTTACTTAAATGCCCAGGCTGTGCTTCAGTAAGAGTCTGAGGCATAGGCGTACTTCAGAATTCAGGATTGCTTCATTTATTTGACTGTATTTGGGCTCATGAGAATAAACTGTTTTTATACTTTTTAAATTCCAGTCATCCATTAAAATGAAATGGTGATTGCTGTGATGATTGTGAATATGTGCTCAGCTATTTTCTTTGTCTTTTAGGAACTCTGTCTCAACATAATTCCCACGTTTGCAAACTTGGTAGATTATCCATCCATGAAGAATTCTTTAATACCACGCATTAAGAATGCTAGTTTACAGACCTCTTCCCTTGCAGTAAGTGGACTTGTACTTCTGCAGTCACTGTCATTTAGGTAAACAACTTGATGAAGCTAGCAACCTACTGCAGTGAATTGAAAAAAAGACCTGTATTTGTTAAACTCTGACAGAAGAAGTGCACTCATAATGAGGCTCCATTATTTCACCCAAATGTCCATGTGAATGTGATGACCCAAAAACGTGAATATCCAATTGAATCACCAAAGTAGTTAAGTTGCTTTATTTTTTACTGTTAGCTGAGGCAAAACAAAATTGCCACCAGATTTCATCAATAAATACAAAAGCATGTTTATTTGAACTAACATAATCTTTAACCACCGGCAAAACAATTTATTCACTGTAACTATCGAACTTAAACTATATCACCTTTAAACCTAATAACACACACGATCACAGACAGATAAGACAAGATGGGTCATGTAGCTCTGCAGAGAAATATAGATGGAAATAACAACAGGCAAAAAGAAAATCTTGGGTATTAAAAGTCCAGACCACAAGCATGCAATGAGGTGACTTTCTCTCAATTCTTTCGGTCTCTGCCTTTGAGATCACGTTGCTGTCAATCACAGGGCAATGGGCAATCTTGGTTCAAGTAGCTAGTCGCTTAGACTCAGGTCATTGAGTTCACAGTTCAGTTCTCAGAGTATGTGAGTGTTTTTTACTCGGAGGGAAAGCGGGGCAAGAGAGTACGGTTTCTTTGCAAACCTCTCCATAACTCTAAACGTATTTTCCTTTCTGTTAGAGAGAGAGCTGCAGGCTTTTTGGGGTCTCTTTTCAACTGCACCACTGCATAGTCTTTGGTAAAGCAGAAATGATCAGTTTAAAAGCTGTTGCTAGGCAATCTTCAGCTGAAGGTTCGTTCCACTGTTTCATCTCGCAAAAGTGACAAATCCACCGTTTTAAAAAAAAATTGTGGGATGTAGGCATCCTTGGCTAGACCAGCATTTATTGCCCATACTGAATTGCTCAGAGGTCAGTTAAGAGTCAACCATATTGATGTGGGTCTGGAGTCGCGTGTAGGCCAGAACAGGTAAGATTGCAACAAAAACCGAAATTGATGATGAAACTCAGCAGTTCTGGCAGAAGTTCTGATAAAGAGACACCAGACTCGAAATGTTAACTCCCAGCAGATGCCGCCAGATCTGCTGAGTTTGGTCAGCAATTTCTGTTTTTGTTTCAGACCTTCAGCATCTGCAGTTCTTTGTTTCATTTTAGGTAAAGACAGCAGACTTTCTTTGCTAAAAGACATTTGTGAGTCTGATGGGTTTTTATGATAATTGATTATGGTCACCATTAGACTAGCTCTTTTTATTCCAGTTTTTTTATTGAATTCAGTTTCCGCTTGCGGCCATGGTGTGATTGAAGCCTGTGACATCAGAACATTAGCCTGGCTCTCTGTATTATTAGTCCAGTGACCTCACCAATACGGGACCACCTCTCCCCTCTAAACAGCTCTGCTTTTCCAAAGCCCTCATGACCTTTTGTAAACAATAAGTGAGCACAACATTCCTGACCTTCGAGTCTGTACAAGTTACATGGTAAGTTCTCTGCACTCCAGACATTGTCCAAAGCTTTCATTATTCTAGTTTTTGTTCCCAAAAACTATGTGGCTCCTGCATATTTACATAGCAGCTATCATAATTTTAGGCTATCCCAAATTGCTTTGCACCCTGTTAACTATTTTTGGAATGTAATGACTGATGTATTGTAGGAAATGCAATAGCCAGTTGATGCGTTGTAAGCTCCAACATTAACCTTGTGGTGGTGATCGTTTTTGTTTTCAAGTGATTTTAGTTGAGTGATAAACATTGGTCCGGGCAGTGAAGGAGATTCTTTGCTGTTCAAAAAAAAATGCCAGGATATCTTTAACATGCACATGAGCTATCAAACAGGCCTTGGTTTAACGTCTCATCCGGCACCACTGGCAGTGCAACATTTCCTCGGTTTTTGACTTCATTCTTGGCCTTGGTACTTTTTTGTTCTGGAGTGGGAGTTGAACCCAGAACTTCTACAACTAAAAATGAAACCTCTACCCATTGACCCTTGAACTAATCAACATTATTTTCTGACCAAATAGCGATTGGTAAAGCATTGCAATTTGCTGCAATCTTGTTTGACTATAATTCAGTTGGGATTCATGAGCATTTAGAAGCCTTGACGATTCCTTTATAAATGCAACATGCTGTGGTTTAGGTCATTTTGCTGATTCTTAGATTATGATGAGAAACATGGTTCAACATTTTCAGAAACTTGCAAGTTACAGTCTGCTTTGTTTAACAAGTACTGCTGTGAAATTGCCTGACTAAAGGCTACAAAACGGAAACAATATTTCAGGCTAATTGCCGATTTCTTGATGTGCCTTTACTGGGGACTTTGCAGGGGCAAGTGATAGCTTGTTGGCCATCCCATATGGCCATAGTTTGGCAATTACCATTGACAGACTATTCAACTGCAAGGGCACCACTGCTCAGCCAAATTGTGGGCTTGGTTGATGAAGGTGATATGCATGAACGTGCACAACCTTGGCACGGGCTACTATCCAAAGATTGAAAATCAGAGCCCTGGCTGTCTACTTCTCTTGAATATCTCTGGCATGTTTTTCTGTGCTGCAGTCCTCTATAACTCTGCTTTTCCTTAAACTGCCCCTCCACCCTCCCACAAATTAAACTGGTGTTGATTGCAATTGTTAACCAGCCACCATCAACTCAATACAGATCACTTGTGCTTGAGACGAACTTTGAACCTGGGACCTATCTACACTCATCAACTCACCTGCTAGCTGCAGGATAAGCTTGAATGAATTTGGCTGAAGTTTTCAAATGAGGCACAAGTAATTGTTGAACTTTATTACTGGATGTCAATCTGCTACCTGGTCTTTGATTCTGTTTCCAATCACTACAGGTGCGTGTAAATTCGCTGGTTTGCCTTGGCAAGCTCCTCGAGTATCTGGACAAGTGGTTTGTACTGGATGAGATCCTTCCTTTCTTGCAGCAGATTCCATCCCGAGAGCCTGCCGTTCTCATGGGAATTTTAGGTGAGACTGTTTGGAGTAATTTATGATATACTATATCTAAAAGTTAGTTTCTTAATTTCAGGTGACCTGAGTAACAGCCAAATAACTTTTGTTTGTTTACTGTCTTTAACATAGTATAACCCCCAGGGTGCTTCACAGGAACATTGTGAAACAGACTGTTTGTCAATTCATGGAAACAAATAATTAACTTACAGAAGGTCTCTGCAACCCTATGAGGTGCACTATTGAGATTCTCACAATTAAAAGACCTAGATACCCTAGAACTGTTCATCTCTGGGAATCTATTTTTGAGTCCAATCCAGGATAATGGGATGAGACTCGCCTCTGCTATCTCTGGATCAAAAACCAAAGTTGCTGGAAAACCTCAGCGGATTTGGCGGCATTTATGAAGGAAAAAAATCAGAGTTAATGTTTTGGGACTGGTGACCCTTCCTCAGAACTGATGGTAGCTGGGAAAATGTCGGTTTATATGCAGAAAATAGGGAAGGTGATTGGTAGGGAGGAAACAAAAGGTGGGGATAGAGCCCGAAGAGAGAGAAGAGCAGTTGGATAGACCAAGGAGCTAATAACGATCTGGATAAGAGGGTGAACTGCTGTTAATGGAGACTGTTAGTGGCAAACAATAGGTAGTGTGTAATGGCAGGCTATGTGATAACAAGGCCTGGTGTATGGGGTAGGTGGCTAGGACATGGGAGAGTTCAGACCCTAAAATTATTGAACTCTATATTGAGTCCAGAGGGCAGCAAGCGGAAAATGAGGTGCTGTTCTTCCAGCTTGTGCTGAGCTTCACTGGAACACCGCAGTTGGCCAGGGAGCAGGGTGATGTGTTAACGTGGAAGGCAACAGGTAGCTCAAGGTCTTTTTTGTGAGCAGAATGTAGATGATCTGCAAAGCAGTCACTCAGTTGAAGGTTCATTTCCCCAATGTAGAGGGGAATGCTGACAATGCTCACAATGTGGTCTCCCCTACATATAGGGAGAGGCTGAATACACTGGGGCTATTATCCCTGGAGTATCGGAGGCTGAGGGGTGACCTTATGGAGGTTTATAAAATCATGAGGGGCATGATTAGGGTAAATAGCCAAGGTCTTTTCCATGGGGTGGGGGAGTCCAAAACTAGAGGGTATAGGTTTAAGGTGAGAGGGGAAATATATAAAAAGGGACCTAAGGGGCAACTTTTTCACACAGAGGGTGGTGCATGTATGGAATGAGCTGCCGAAGAAAGTCGTGGAGGCTGGTACGATTCCAACATTTGAAAGGTATCTGGATGGGAATGTGAATAGGAAGGGTTCAGAGGGATATAGGCCAAATACTGGCAGATGGGATTCTATTTATATAGGATATCGGTCGGCTTGGACAAGTTGGACTGAAGAGTCTGTTTCCGTTCTGTATATCTCTGTGACTCTATGATTAGACAGGGTAAATGCAGAAAGGATATTCCTCATGATCAGTGAGTCCAGAACCGATGGTCACAGTCTAAGGATACAGGTTAAGCCATTTAGGACTGAGATGAGGAGAAATTTCTTCACCCAAAGAGTTGTGAGCTTGTGGAATTCTCTACCACAGAAAGCAGTTGAGGCCGAAGCATGAATGTTTTCAGGAAGGAGACAGATATAGTTCTTAGGGCAAAAGGGATCAAAGATTCTGGGAAGAAATTGGGAATAGGGTGCTGAGTTGGATTTGTTTTTCAGTTGTGGGATGTAGGCATCAATGGCTGGCCAGCATTTATTGCCCACTCCTTGATGCCCTTGAGAAGGTGCCGGTGAGCTGCCTTCTTGAACTGCTGCAGTCCACTTGTGGGTTGACCCACAATGCTATTAGGGAGGGAAGTCCAGGATTTTGACTGAAAGAACGTGATATTTTTCCAAGTCAGGATGGCGAGTGGCTTGGAGGGGAGCTTGCAGGTTGGTGGTGGCAATGATGAGTCATGATCACATTGAATGGTGGAACAGTTTCAAAGGACCAACAGGCCTACTCCTCCTACTTTCTGTTTTTATGCTTCTTGCTGCAGGTTTTGCTACTAACAAAGAATATTTGACAGTAAGTTTTACCAAATGTTTTATTGATTTTTGGTTTTCAGGTATCTACAAATGTACTTTTAGCCACAAGAAGCTGGGAATTACCAAAGAGCAGTTGGCTTCAAAAGTGCTACCACACCTTATACCACTCAGCATTGACAACAATCTGAATCTGAACCAGGTCAGACCACCTCTACTGCTGTCTCTATGCTGTTGGAAGTAGTCTTTTTTTCAGTTTGTTTCATGTTTTCAGAATTAATGTATCGTGGCTTTTCTTGTTTGTAAAAAAAAACTCGACCTGTTTCAGAAGTCCTCAGTTTTTAGCCTTTGCCTGCAGTGCTTAGTTTTAATTATTGTTGAGTTGTGATACACTTGGCATTTAAGATTTGTGTAGGTCAGGTGGTGGGTGAGAAACCTCTTGTGATAAGTTCTGCTTCTGCCCTGCCTGTTCGAAAGAATCAGTATAAAATTGCTATGGAAATGAATCTCTCCTCCAGACATTTTAGAGTTGTAGGGTCATAGAGACATACAGCATGGAAACGGACCCTTTGATCCAACTTGTCCATGCTGACCAGATATCCTAGATAAATCTAGTTTCATTTGCCAGCAATTGGCCCATATCCCTCTAAATCTTTCCCTATTCATATACCCATCCAAATGCCTTTTAAATGTTGCAATTGTGCCAGCCTCCACCATTTCTTGTGGCAGCTCATTCCATACATGCACTGTTCTCTACATGAAACGGTTGCCCCTTAGGTCTCTTTTAAATCTTTCCCCTCTCAGCTTAAACCTATGCCCTTCAGTTTTTGACTTCCCCCACCCCAGGGAAAAGACCTTATCTATTTACCCTATCCATGCCCCTCATGATTTTCTCTTAAAACCATATGAATTTTGTATCTATTGATTATAAGCTCAAAGATTCTAAAATAAAATAGCAATGAATTGAATACTTTGGTCACTTCAAAAAGCCTTGAAGCATTCTATTTAAGCTGTGTCTAATATATCTTAGGACTTTTAAATATTCAACAAGGTCAGTAAACCAAAGTAAAAGTTGGAATCCTAAGGGGGGTCCAGAGCTGAAAGTTTGGGGTTGTACGTTCTGTGGCAGTAGTGGCTGCCGTGAAGCTATGACCCAAGTTACAACAGCTGCACTCTCTTTAACAGGCCCCCACTTTTCAGTTCTCACCAGGAATTGCAACAAATCCTCACATGGGATCACAGTGGGAAAAAGTTTAGGAAGCATTGCAGTAAACCATGTGTTACTTTTTGAAGGTTAAAAAACCAACTGGATTTGTACCCAATTAATTATGTATGCAACACGTCCACTAAAATGTTCAATATGCCCACCAAGATGTCTGAGCTGAGAGAAGTCCTCTGGATATCTCATTTCAATATCAAGTTGGGCCTTGCCTATGAATTTATGCCATACTTTATTGGCATCAGTGAGTTGTCACCTTAAACCATGCACTATTATTAATAAATACAGCTTTCATATGCAAGAAGGCAAAGTATTCCATAATTTCTTCACATCTGTAGAACTTTATTTTGTGGTTGTTATTTTTACAGAGAATGTCTTTGTTACAACTTAAACAAAATAAGCACATAATTTTTCAAAAAATTGCAGCCTTCCACATCTTGAGCAAGGACTTCAGAAAGATTTTCTTTTTAACACCAAAGGGGCTAGTCCATATAGATTTTCTTTTGCTCTCCGTGTTCTTTAGGATATGTTCCTGTGGGGGATCTTGCTGGACCGGACTTCAACCTGAGACAGAACTAATAGCACTGGCATCGGTTCTCCAACCCCTGCTTCCCATGGTCAGCGCAGGATTGCTGAATTGTCTTGTTTTTTTTTCTCGTGTTTCTCTTTGTATGATTTCCAAAAGAAAAACCATTGATTTCTCTTTTTTTTAATATATAGTTTAACTCCTTTATGGGAGTGATCAAGGAAATGTTAAGTAAGGTGGAGGCTGAGCACAAGACTAAACTGGAACAGCTACATCACATGCTGGAACAGCAGAGGTAATGAGTGCGCGTGCTATGCTTTGTGTTCACCGTGACAGCCTGCAGTCTGCTTGTGCCACAGGGTAATAATGAGGCACATTGATTACACATGAGCTCCTAGGACTCTTGAGAGAGAGAGAGAGAGAGAGAGAGAGAAAGCTGATATCAGTTGCAAACAGCAAATCCTGGCAAACTTTTTGCAGTAGTTGTGTCCATCCAAACCGTTCTTGTGTCTCCAACTGGTAATAAAGGTAAATAAAGAAATTGCAATGTCGAGTTTCAGAATTATTTTGACCAGTTTTTGCAGTGTTTGTGGGAGGGAAAGAAAGGTTGCTTTTAAACATTGGGTTATTAAAACAATTTTTTGACTGGGTGGATTTGGAAAAGATGTTTCCCCATGTGGGAGAATCTAGAATTGGGGTTTTGTGTTTCAAAATAAGAGGTCATCCATTTAGGGCAGAGTTGAGAATTATTTTTCTTGCAGAGGTTCTTTGGAACTCTCTTCCTCAAGAGGTGATGGGAGCAGAAACATTTGAAATTTTTGAAGCAAAGCTGGATAGATTCTTGCTAAGCAGGGAGGAATGAAAGGTTACTGGGGATAGGAGGGGATGAGCCATGATCTTATTGAATGGCAGAGCAGTCTTGAGGAGCTGAGTATTGTAAATTGTATGTTCACACGTATTCTCACAAATGAAGGATAAAGAAGTAAGATGGCTACATGTTCAACAGTGATATTTTATTCCCCAGACACTGAAATAATCAGCAATGCATTAATCTTGGATGACAATTGATAAGACACTTGACGTGTTATAGAGTCACTGGTCCCGTTTGACTGAACATACTGACTTCAACCAAAATGCAGTAGGGACAAGCAAATAGGTTCAGAAAAAATTACAGAGTCAAGCAGACTTCACACAGAAAGTTGTGAAAGATTTAGCTTGTCAGCAAAGTTAGCTGTTAACTTTGTTAGCCAAATAAGATGACCAAATATTTTCTTTATTTTGTTTATTGCGCATAAAGTTTAGCGTGAACTAGGTGAATCCAGTTGTATTTGTTGTTCACTATGTTCACCTCCAGCAAAATAAAACAACTTTGAATCTGATCTCATCTGAACAAGTGCATTCTTAGTCCATCTTGGCAGAGATCAGAGAGGTACATTTAAGCATGTAATAAAGATTCAACATCCAGTTCAGATCAGAAGGGAGTAATTGTTTTTATTCGCACATGGGATATGGACGTTACTGGTCAGGCTAGCATTTATTGCCCAGAGGGTAGTTAGGAGCCTCTGGAGTCGCATGTACGCCAGACCAGGTAAGGCTGGCAGTTTCAGTCCCTGAAATGCATTAGTGAACGAAGTGGGTTTTTCTGACGATTGATGGTTTCATGCTTCATTTGACTACTCAAGATTTTTATTAATTCAAATTGAACTATTTGCCATGGGAGGATTTGAATCTGTATCCCCAGAACATTACCTAGGTCTCAGGTTTAAAAAATCACTAATGGAGGTAATCAGCTTTATTACTTCAAGGACATATTTAAAGGTAGACCCTAACCCTGTAATAGACATAATTTCACCAACTGCATTGAAGGCATTTTTCTATGAATACCACATGTAAGAGAAATTATTTTGTTTTAATTATTAATTCATTCAAAATATTTTTCAATTTTGCATCAGGCACATCTCATAAAAACTTACACGATTATCCTGTCTGTTCGCCATTTCTGTACTCCCCTCCCTCATCCTGACGCACAATTTCAGAGCCGATGATGGCCTGTCTGTGTCTGAAATTTCTCATCCTCATATTTAACTCTCTTCCAGAATAAGAGAAGACAGTTTCCACTGGCATTAGTAACTGGGGATCACAGATTTAATTAGCTAAAAGAATATAGAGGGGAGGTGAAACAATTTATTTGATGTAGCAAGCTGTGATCTAGAATGCATTGCTTGAAGGGGTTGTTGATACAATTGCAAGGATCACGTTCAAGCAGGAAGTAAATACTATACTTAGAAAGTAAGCAGATGCATGTTTAATTGGGAAAGAATAGGTGAGTGGTAGCGAATCGATTGTTCTTTTAGTGAGCTGACACACGACCAATTAGCCAGACTGTTGCCCTTTGAGTTCTGTTCTATGATTTTCAGATTTATTTTTATTTTGTAAAGTAATATTAAATTAAAAAGAAAATCGCTCAATGGTAGATTTTGACCACAAACTGAGAAGCAAGGTATTCTCATCCACTCTGGGATTTTTATCTTTGCTGACCAGATCCAAGAGTAAACAACATATTGATTTTGCAACTTTTTCCTCAAGCAGCATCCCTATAACACTATCTGGCCATTATTAATATGTCTGGGAGCATGCTGTGCATAAATTAGCTCGTGTATTAGAGCTCGTGTGTTCTGTATTAGAACAGCATAACAATTCACAATTATTTCCTTGCACATTTCAACCATTCTGACATCCTCAGAGATACTATATGATTGTAATTTCTTTCTTAGTCAATACAATAGTGATGTTTTGTCTCTTCTTTTTAGAAGTTTGGATCTACCTGGCCAGTTCAATAAAATTACTGAATCAAAGGAAAACCAAGACACTCAGGTAAGGTAACAGTGCTCGAATATAAACAGAAAATGGTCAGCAAGCACCACAGGTAGAGGGTGATTGGGATTGATGCAAGCTACAATAGGGGCAGCAGAAATTTGGATGAGCTATTGGAAGCTCTGTTCTTCTGACATATGTCCTTTTTGTTGTTTCCAGTTTGCTTAACTAATTGGTACCTTATTCTACCCTTGAATTCCTCCTCGTTCTGTATCCTTCTTTATCTCCCACTAATTGTCTTTGTCTCCAGCTGCCTTTGGCGAAGTTAACGAGAACTGGGAGTTTTTTGAAAACTGCATTGTGAGACTGAAGTTACAGCTGTCACAGCAGCATGTAGTGGTCTATACAGCGTTCAAGCAAGCATTGGGCCAGTAGGTTCGGATCCTGGAAAGAAATCTGCATTTGGTAGGGGAATACAGGAGACAGGACACTCAAAAGAAAGAGTTGACCGAGGAAGAGAAGGCAGCAAAAGGAGCCAAATATAACCTGAACTCCAGATGATTGGAAATGGGAGACAGGCGCCAATGACGGCTGTTCCATCTCATATTTGAACGCATGAATAGCGAACACAACACTCTTTACAGTTTTAACTAGGTAGTGATGTGGCCAGTAGTAACTGCCTGGGAAACAACTGAAAATAAGATTGTGACTCAGAAAGGTAACTGACAAGCAAGAAGGATTTGTTTTTATCATCAAAATTTCAATTTATCATAAAATACTAGACTTGTGCTTCCAATGATAATTAAAGGGTGATTTCACAGAGATGCTTAAGATGATGATTGAGCTGATGGTCTCTCTTGATCCACCCAATCTTCTCTTGATGGGTCAACTCCAGAATGTGGAGGCATAATCTTAAAATTAGAGCTAAGCTGTTCAGGGGTGATGTCAGAAAGCACTTATTCATGCAGAGTCATGTGAATAAAAGCTCAACATATTTATTTTGTTTGCAGAGAACTGGTGCCTGCATATGAATGAATTTCACTTCTACCAACTGTAAATGAGCAGGATTATAACTTTGATTATCACAGATTGGTTGTTGGTGAAGTTCTTCACACATTAAGAGTTGTTCAGCAGGAGCTACCCATTCGTGATGTCAGATCTAACTTAGATGTTTTGTTTGGGTTTAGTTCAAGAAACACAAGTAAGAATTGAACATATTCAATGTTTTTGAATTATCTGAGAGCTTGTCTTATAGTTCCCCTGTTTACTCCATGGCAATGCCTTAACCAATCAGAGTTAACTTGCCAACCAATCAGCACTGTTTTCTCCTCTCATATATATTGTTGTGATAGTTGAAGTTTGGTGTTCTTGTGTCTGTCCTGATGAGTGCAAGATGGAAGAGCTTTGACAACATGTCTCTCTTTTCATTCATGTTCACAACCCATTGTTTAGTTGAAGAACCTTAAATATTGGAGTATCCTCGTGAATTTCAGTGCAGTTTTGAATTCTTTCACATTTTACGAAGTCATTTTTATCATTTCTGAAGTGTGAAATCGTGCCTTAAGACCTCAAGGATAGAAGCAGATTCAGCAGTTATATTGAGAAGAGAATTGGATAAATAATCTCGTGGGCTATGACATCGGAGCAGGGTTCCTTACTCTTCAAAGAAGCCAGTATAAGCATATTGGACTGATTGGTGTCTCACTCTGTTCTCTCATTCAATGGCACTACGATCTATGTTACTTTTCCCATCCATGGGACCTGCCTTTTACATTAAATTGCATTTTTGTCATTCTTTGAAAAATACAGGCTTGTGAACTGACCATAAACTCAAATTTATCATGTACTCTCAAATTAATCTGTTGGGGTAAGGCGACAGCCAGGTGGTATTATCACTACACTGTTAACCCAGAGACCCAGGTCCTGTTCTGGAACCTGGGTTTGAATCCCATCACAGCAGATGGTGAAATTTGAACTCCATATAAATCTGGAATTAAGAGTCCAATAATGACCATGAACCCATTGTCGATTGTTGGGGAAAAATGCATCTGGTTCACTAACGTCCTTTAGGGAAGGAAACTGCCATCCTTACCTGGTCTGGCCTACATGTGACTCCAGACCCACAGCAATATGGTTGACTCTTAACTGCCCTCTGGGCAATAAATGCTGGCCTAGTCAGCGATGCCCTCATCGTGTGAATGAATTAAATACAAAGTCCATAGATAAGCTTTCACAACAATCTCACTGGCTATATCAGGTAAGTCTTTTAATAAAAGCAAAATACTGCGGATGCTGGAAATCTGAAACAAACACAGAATGCTGGAGAAACTCAGCAGGTCTGGCCACATCCATGGAGGGAGAAACAGAGTTAATGTTTTGAGTCTCCAGCATTTGCTGTGTTTGTTTCTTTGTTTCGTTTTCTTAGTTTGTTAATTGCCAAGACTGTAAAAATTTATTATGAACAACGGAAGTGAATATTTCAAATAGTGAATGAATGGGAAGAAGAGATTGGAATTTGTACATAGGTGATGAGGGCTTTGCCTATAGGAGCACTGATTTAGCTGATAACAAATCAGATTGAATAGTAAATGTAATGCTTCTTTTTATGCATTCACGGAATGTGGGTGTTGCTGGCTAGACTGTATTTATTGCCCATCCCTAATTGCCCAGAGGGCAGTTATGAGTCAACCACATTGCTGTGGGTCTGGAGTCACATGTAGGCCAGACCAGGTAAGGATGGCAGTTCCTTCTCTAAAGGACATAAAGGGCTTCTTAAAGGAATCCAAGTAGAGAGTTCAAATATATTTCTATCCTGAGCTTGGAATGCTTTACCACAAGTAGCCATTGAAGCAGAGACTAAAACATCATTTAAAAGAGGATCGGGTGAAGTTTTGAAAACAAATATCCTAATTGGAATTTGAGAAGAGTAGGGCAATGAAATTAGATTTGGCAGTGCAAGTTGAGGGGCGAGAATGGCACAGGTACAGTGGCCTGGTTGGTTACTGTCTATGCTTTAGGTTCTAGGATTTTGAAACCTGAGAAGGCTTTATTGGAATTCTTTGACTGACTTAACCAGCTTTGATTTATTCCATTTGTGTTCTACGTGATGATTCTCTTCAAGTAGTCTTCATTTGTTCTGCTGTTTTGCTAAATAGATTGATAAGATCTTCACAAGCTTTGGAGTGGATGTAAGTGGAGGAGTTAATAAGAAAGAGGATGGATCGGTCTCCAATTCACAGAAGCAAGTCAAAGTAAGACGTACTTGAAGCTCGATGTACACCCTATTTAGCCCTTCATTAGTGTGGGGCTCACTGGATTTCCCCAGTTGGGTAATGATCCTGACATTGACTTCAACTCTGGGTCAGAGAGCTGGAGTTGGCTGTGGCTGGGCATCAAATGTGATTTTTGTGGAAGTGATTAATTAAGAGCTGCTTCAGGGAGCCCAATCCAATTAAAAATGCTGGCAGGCCCCTGGCAACAAGATCTGGCAGAATCTGTGAAGCAAAAAAAAGTTATTATTTCTAGTCCAGTGACTCAGACCCAGATACAAGGTTCTTTCGACCCCTAATTGCCCTGAGAAGCCCCTTGGACCCTGGACTCTGGCAAAGAGCCATCCTGACATGGTTCTTCTTTTGCCCCCACTATACCCCCCACCCCACCCATCTCATCCAACCACAAGCCCATTTGCTAGAGATTTGGAATGAAAAAAAGTGTTTGAGAAACTCAGCAGGTCTGGCAGAATCTGTGGAGTGAGAAACAGAGTTAAAGTTTCAAGTCCAGTATGACCCTGCTTCCTGACGACTTGAAATGCTAACTCTTTCTTTCTCCACAGATGCTGCCCAACCTGCTGAGTTTCTTCACTTTTTATTCAAAATCTCTAACATCTGCAGATTTTGCTTTTCCTCATGCATTAGAATTGATGCTAAATTATGACACCTCTGAAGAACAATCAGATGGAATGTACATAGACTAGAAACGTTTCAATCTGTTTTATATGTTTTAATAATAAAATCTGTAGGCCTTTCAGAAAAGAGCAGCAGGCTAGTTATCAGAGAGTTGAACAGATATATAGGATTGCTGTAATGCATGATTCTGTATTTTTAAGAAGTGGGCCAATCATTTGAATAGCAGTTTTCTGAAGGGAAATTACCATTCTTTCAGAGCATAAGCATAGATGTGGGATCCAAATGGCCACTTTCTGAGCTATAAAATTCAATGGTTCTGTGAAACAATCTTAAAAATATTTTTTCCCTGTAACCAGACTTCTCTTACATTGGAAGAGAAACAGCGACTGGCCAAAGAGCAGGAACAGGCTCAGAAACTTCGAAATCAGCAACCTCTTGCTCCAAAGTCTGTTAAAGTTTCAGCTCCAAGCAAGCAGGTTTGTGTCTGCCAAGCTGACTTAACACTCGGGAGTATGTCAGTGACCTCACTGTTGTCTTATTTGTCTGTGTATTCATTTAAAAAAATACTTGGAAAGACCTAGAATACTGTGGATTATCTGAAATAAAAATGAAGTGCTGGGGAAGCTCAGCAGGTCTGGCAACATCTGGAGAGAGAAACGGAGTTCATGTTTCAAGTCCAGCTCTTCTGAAGCGTGTTAACTTTTTGTTTCTTTATCCACAAATGTGGTCCCCCGAGTTTCTCCAGCACTTATTTTTATGCAAAATGCTTTGCTTAGTTTGTACAAGTTAACATCCTTAAAGCAATGAATGCACCACTTTGAATCTTCAGAGAGAAATGTGAAAAGGTTTATGAAATTGTGTATCATCATAAAAATGTAATCTTCAGATATGGTAGAATCATGGTTATCTTACTGGCCTAGTGAGCCTAGTGCCTGGACAATTGATTTAGAAACATGTATTCAAAGCCCACCAGTGCAGCTGCACAATTTAAATTCAATTAATAAAATCTGGAATAAAAAGGCATTATCTGTAATAGTGGCAGTGGAACTACAGGATTGTTGTAAAAATCCACCTGGTTCACTCATGAACCTTTCACCCTTTCATGAAGCTATCCAGAGCCATTCTTGCTATGTGTGACTCCAGACTCACAGAAATATCGTTGATTCTTAACTGCTCTCTGAAGTGGCCCAGCAAGCCTCTGAGTTGTATAGGAATATAAGAACAGTACAGCACACGAACAGGCTCTTTGGTCCACCATGTCTGTGCCGACCATGTTGACATTCTAAATAATCCCATCTGCCTGCACATGGTCTGTATCCCTGTATTCCCTGCCTGTTCGTGTATTTGTCTAAATGTTTCTTAAACTTTGCTATCGTATCTGCTTCTACCACTTCTGCTGTGAGCATGGTCCAGGTACCGACCACCCTCTGAGTAAAAACATTTGCCTTGCACATCTCGTTTAAACTTTCCCCCTCACACCTTAAACCTATGTGCCCCCCCCCCCCCGCCCCAGTATTTGACATTTTCACTCTGGGAAAAAGACTCTGCGACCATCCACCTTATCCATGCCTCTCATAATTTTATATACTTCTATCAAGTCACCCCTCAGCCTCTGACACTTTAGCAAAAACAATCAAAGTTTGTCCGACCTCTCCCTAGAGCTAATACACCAAATTCCAGGCAACATTGTGATAAACCTCTTTTGAACCCTGCCCAAAGGGTCCATAGTCTTCCTATTGTGTGGTGACCAGAACCATGCACAGCATTCCAAACATGGCCGAACTAAAGTTCTATGCAGCTGCAACATGACTTACTGACTTTTATACTCAATGCCCTGATCAATTAAGGCAACTTTGCCATAAGCACTCTTTACCAACTTATCCACTTATGTTGCCACTTTGAGGAAGCTATGGATTTTCACCCCAAGATCTCTCTATATAGAGCAATGCTCCTCAGAGTTCTGCTTTTTCCTCTTGCATTTGACCTCCAAAATGCATCACCTCACACTGGTCAAGATTAAGCTCCATCTGCCATTTCTCTGTCCAGCTTTTTGGCTGTTGTGTATCCTGCAGCATCATTTGGTAATCTCCCCCACAATCCACATCTCCTCCAGTTTATATGCAGCCTGCAAACCTATTAATCAGTCCACCTACATTTTCATTCAAATTATTTATGTATATTACAAATGACAGAAGTTCCAGCAATGATCCTCGTGGAACACCCCTGATCACAGACCTCCAGTCAGAAGGCCTTTGCAGCAATACTCAGATTTTAAGTGAATTTTTTTAAAAGACAGCTAATAAATCCTGTAAAGAATTCAACAGAATCTACCTTACTTGATATGTGACAGTCAAAATTCAGTTTAGCAAAACCCCTGTAGCTTCCCAGTTTATTGAAGTAACATGTGTTATGACAGAGAATGGCTGAACCCCTCTGATAATTAAACTAAAACACAAGCCCTGATCTGTTATG